AAGGTGAAGAAATCGGGTGGGAAATAAGCGCGAGCTCGTCAGTCTCGTTGATGCTTATTCCACCATCGGCGTTATTAATAGTTCAATTCGGACCCTCCTCCTCCTCCTCCTCTTCCTCCTACTTCTCCTCCTCCTTTACTACGTTCCTCGACGCGACTTATTCTCTTTTTTCCATTCTTTCATTCTTTTACTTTTTTCTCTTTCTCCGTTTTTTATTGTGAATGGGACCGTAACGAGTCGTCCACCTTCGACCAATTTTTCACGAGCTTCTTCTACTCATCTAGTTCCTCCTCCTCTTTATCCTCCTCTCGTTCGAGCCTCTAACGAGCTTGGGCGAGTCTTTTCCAATTTTTATCGAAGAAAAGCCTTAAGAGTCGTATTTCGCGGAAGACGAGCATAATCTCTTACAGGTTCCCTACTACTACTACTACTACTACTACTACTAATACTACTACTACTATGCATCCTATCGACTTTCTCGTATCGAATTCGACGAAACGACGCATATGTTTTACGACTACGAATATGACGACGATTATCAACGACGAGTTTAGTAGTAGCATTATCGACAATACCCTCTATACATTTTTTTTTTGTTCTTTCTTTTATCGTTTGCAGGTGACCGGATATTACGATTCTTCTTTCCTTGGATTTATATTTCATACACGTCGTACGTTACAACAAAAAATGTGTACGTAAATAAAATAATAATAGATTTAGAAATGAACAAAAAAAAAAAAAATCACAAAATAAGAATTTCAATTTGTTTTGTTTTTTTTTTGTTTTTCTAGAATAATAACATTTTCGAATATCAACGTCAATTTCAACAAAAATGATAAGTTACCCCCTCTCTCTCTCTCACTCCTTCCTTTCTTCACCTTTCTGTGTACAATTGACAAGTCTCACATTTCCATAATGACGTTCGTAGATTCAACGAGAGACCAACGACGTCACGTTTACATCTTATATTCCGATACGAAGATAGAAAGAGAGAGTTTCGGAACGATTATGGACGCGTAGGAGTGTCCTATGAACAGATCTCGCGTTTCACGTAGGTGGCCTTAAAACCTTTCTCCCCACCCATCCTGGAGAGAGGGTTTTTCATTCCAAACGTTTCGCGAACGAACGAATGAACGAAAAGGATGTTCGTAATTTTTTTTTCCCTGACGAAAACTTACTACCGAGAACATCGAACCTTCTCTTTTTCTCTATCTCTGTTTATCGTTGTCCTCATATCAAGATAAAAAAAAAAGAGAGAATGATACTTTACTGAGAAGATTATTACAAGGTTTATGTGGGAGGGGTAGGGGGTGGAGACATACCGAAGTGGCAGTTTATTTTTAACAAGAAGAGGAAACGTTAATGTTCTTTTGGTATATAATTTATTCCCTTCCACCCCTCTTACTCATTCTAAAAAAAAAGTAGCTCCTTAAAGTGACTCTTTCATAAATCCTACAAAATGTCAAGGTAGACAAATATTACAGTTGTTTCTGTTTTTTTTTTTTTTAATTCTCATTCATTATGTTTTCCTTTTGTTCCAAATGTTGAATCTTACCCGAGAAACGTATTATTTATTATTCGAATTACTTTTTTACGATTAATAATATTTGGTAGAAAATTCTGTCCGTTTAAACAAACATTAGTTCAATTTTTCGCCACTAGGGTAAGGCCCTATTTGTTAAAATGGAATATACAAATTTCCACCATGTTGGCAAGAGTTAAAAAGTAATTAAATTAATTAATTGTTTACATTAGGAATAATTTATTATTTTATTTTATTTTTAAAATGGACAGAATTTTTCGGTAAACCTAATAATAAGAAGAAAAAGAAAAAGAAAAAAAGGTCAAATGTCATTTTTATGTCAAGCAACGACGAGGAGATATATCTTTTTTCTTTCATATATATTTATATATCGTTTTTACCTCGTTGATGTGCTTGTAGGTTTTGATAAGATCGACGCTTAGCTTCCGTAGGGGTGCCGTCGCTGGATCGCGGAATCTGTGGGGTATCCTGGCCTGCATGGCGTGGATGTCCGTGGCGGTCTCCTGCTGAACCCCACCGGCACCCCCACCACCACCGCCGCCCCCTCCGCCGCATACCGTTGGGGGCATGGGCTCCTCGGCGACCAATCGCCCATACAAGGGCGCCCCTCCGGTCCCCGTCCTCCCGCTCACTGAAATCATACGCATAAGACAGAGTTAGACCAAATATCGATCAATAAATAGTTGTTGTTGATGTTGTTGTCCAACAGATTCATCTTTAACATTTTTTTTATTATATTTTTAATTTTTTTATCATCATCATTTTGTTTCGCAATATCATCTAATCCATTTATACGTAATGTCTAAAAATAGTAATGCATTAAAACGTACATATCAATTTTTTATTTATTCCAAGAATAATTCTAATTTTCCATGAACCTAATAATATAACGCATCACTGTGTATACGATGATCTTGACACGAGTACAAAAAAAAATATTAAAAAATGAGACATGCGTGGATAGCAGAGATAACGATTAAAGTTGGCTTCTCTGAAAAGCAATTGAAATAATCGTGTCAGGAAACGATATACAAGTTCGAAGAAGTAACGTCATAAAAAAAAAAGGAGAAGGGAAGGAAGTGTACCTAGGAGTATTTTTTTTCGAGTTTCTCATATGACCCACGGCACGTAAGTTTTATTAACACTCTCCCCTCTAATTTTCCTTTTTATTGCGTTTCTTCTTATCGGGTTAGAAATTTTTGATAATAAGAGAAAATAAGAAGTGTTAAACGGACGAAAAGAGACGTTTCCTGTCACTCCCTCGAAAATGTGAACAATAATTAAGAAAAATACTTCGATAAATAATATATGGATCATGACGTTTATGAAGAAGAATTACAGGGAGGGGGACAACAACAACGGTGAGCATAGTCGTTAATTTTGACGTTACCCATTCGTCCTCGGTTATGCCCCGCCACTCATATCGAAACATTATCGTTATTTTAACGACCCTGTTATGTGCCTCGAACGAGCAGCTTACGTCGTCCGCTTATCGCTTCGTAAAGCAAAACCCATCTTTTTTCTCTTCCACCTATCTCTTTCTCTTCCATTTCTATATCCACTTTCTTACAACACACCTTCTCCTACTAACATTTAAAATTCTATCCTAAATTTTCAAGCAAAGGGTCGTATATTTCGACAGGGTACTTTTAACGCGCGGAAAGTAGCTTTCACGTGTAATTAAAAAATAAAATGTTTTGTTATGTTCTATCATGAAACGTCACGTCTTAAATGATAGGGGTGGTGGATGATACAATAAAAAAAAAAAATGTATCTGTTGATCAAACGAGTCAACTTCTTTTTTAGTAGGTTTAAAAAAAAAGGTATCTTCATTAATTTCTATCCATAAGTTTCATTATAAGAAACGTTGAGTATGTATGCATGGGTTTGATGATAGATGATCAATAATAATCTTTGTTTTCTTATTCATTTCTATCCAACTCTTTTTCTCTTTCTAACAAGGATAAACGCGTAATCGTCGATAAAGGTAGAAGAGAGGGTTAGTGGTAGGAGGAAGTAACAACAAAGCAAGAATCAACTGGTTGTCGCGAACGTCCCTAATTTCCCCAGTGCTCGTCGGCACACTGCTGCTGCTGCCGCTGCCGCCGCCTTCCTTCTTCCTTCCGTCCCCGTCGTCCTTATCTCATCCCTTCCGTTAAATGGTCCATGGAAGTGGCAATTGGTTAATCGCTCGACACGATTTCGTTCGTTCGTATGTGTAATATAAGCTCGTGGTGTGTCCTTGGGCCCAAGTAAATAGTCAATAAGAGAAAAAGAAAAAGAAGAAAAGTCAACGACCCGGTGTGATGCACCAGCAGCACCAGCACCAGCACCAGCAGCAGTAAACTTTAACGAGAAAATTGTGGGTGGTCGAATAAAATTTGCAGACCATCTACCCACCCACTTCTAACCCCTTCTCCCTCACCTTTTCCTCCACCTTCCAACGGTAGTTTCTCTCTTCGGCTTTTATCCAAAGCTCTTCCCGTTGGCCCAGAAGCCAGTAAAGCTATTCCTCCTCAGTTTCCTCCCCCCATTTAACCACCCCCCTTATGCTGGTGTTCCAGGCCGCTCTCCACTCCGACACAATCCACCCCACCTCCTTCTCTACCTCCTCTTCCACAGTCATTTTTACGAGCCACTGCGTATCGGAAAGCGGAGGAGGCGGCAATGGCAGCACGCCGTAGAGCTAGCTCTGTTTGAAATGTAGGCCAGGGTGCGGTTGAATGAAAAAAATATCATTCATTAACACGCTCGAGCAAGGGTTCTCAATCCTACTTTTTACTCTCTCTATCTCTCTCTTTCCTTATCATTTTTTCCTACTCTTTCTCTCTTTTGCTCTTTTTTTCGTGCTGGTCTCACAGGAACGAAATGGCCTAGTGGCATAGAGAACGATGCCGTCTCGTATCCCATTTGCATGTCTGCAAAACGAGGAGAAAAAAAGAGAAAGAAAAATAGAAAGAGAGAGAGTCTGCTGCACGAGAGGGAATCGATTGACTATGCGAAAGACAGAAAAAGAGAGAGAGATAAAGTAAACCCTCGAAAGAACTAAAAAAAAGTACCCTGGCACCCTTAAACCGCGAACCTCCCAGACTATTGTCACCCCTTATCGAAACGATTATCTCCTCCAATGAGTTACCCAGCACCCACCCTAGGTTGCCTAATCTACTGATTAACCCTCGGACAGGCAGAAATATTTTCACTGTCCGCCAAGCGAACGAACAAATGAACGAATGAACGAATGAACGAACGAACGACGGATCATACATACTTGACCCATTAATCGAACGAGCCTGTTAACGGGCTACGGCTTTCGACCGAGGAAAAATGCTGATCGAGCGACTTCTACGATCTCTTCTTCTCTATATATTCATCCCTCTCTCTCTCTCTCTCTCTCTCTCTCTCTCTCTTACATACACTTTTTCTGCAGACACGCATACGTACACACACAAACCTAGAAAGAGAAAGAGAGAGAGAGAGAGACAAGTAGATACGTTCGGGAGAAAATACTTAACTAGTCTTTTAAACGAAACTTTTCCTTTTTTTATTTACGATCTCATTAATTGCAATCATTTTTGTTTATCTCACAACCCTTTTCTTTATTAAATACATTAAATGACACGGATTGAAGAAGATAACACACTGGCTATTGCTGCTACTGCTGTTGCGTTCCAACAAAATTGAGTGCACTGTGACGTTAAGGAAATTATAAGGAATGACTTGGATTAAATTTGAATAAAAAAAAAAAAAAATGTTTCCCCTTCGTTCTCAAGAATAGAACATTTCTGAATGATCATCGAAAAGAATAAGGGTGAGGCATAGTGAACAAGATTTTCTTGAAATACTTTAAGTTGAAACATCTTCGCGACATTTTTGCAGCTTCGAACGGCTATTAACTCTCCTCCTCGACGACCGATGATGATGGTGTTGGTTATGATGGTGATGGTGATGGTTCGTCGTCGTCTCGGCACGCGCCGAAAGTAAAAGCAAAGTTTCCTCGAACGCGCTACGAGAGTTCGCGCTCTCGCATTTGTTCCTACCAAAGTTTTCCCCAAGTAGAAGGAGAAGGTGAAGGAGGAGGAGGTGGAGGAAAAGGTGGAAGAGAACACAGAGCGTCGTCTCGACTCGGCATTTCAATCGAAGAGAGAAACTTATCGACGTTGGGACGACGATCGATTTTCACCCGCGAAAGAGCATCGTTCGATGTAGCCATCGGCGTCGGTTTCGAAGGATACTCGATAAAGTATGATAGAGATAGAAATAGAGGAAGGGAGATTGTGAGACTGTGTGTATATATCTACGTGTGTAAGAGAGATAAAGACAGAAACAAGAATCACCGACGAGAATTACTCGGTTTCCATCGAGTCGGTCCACCACACACACACACACACGTGTATCTATGCGCACACCTGTACTTGTATAATATATATATATATATATATATATATATATATAAATGTATATAATACATGTATAGATCGAACGGCAGACGAGCGTAAAAAATTCAGGATATCGATAGGGACAGGGAGGATTATTCTTTCGGTCGATAGGCGTACGAATGGAATTGGAACGTTTTACGAGCTCGTCGCGGCCATCGAATCGTTATCACCCGTCTCTCTCTCTCTCTCTCTCTCTCTCGTTACTTTCCTAGAACGATCGAAATTTTCTGCCTGTCAGTTTCGGAGTTCAAATTCTTCTTTCACTATCATTCTACTACTCTACTGATTGTTAATTAAGCATAGGAAGAAACTTACGATCAATCAAAACAAAAATACAAATTTGGTTGCATCGGGTAAAAGAAAATAATGGTTACGTCGTTAGTTAAAAAAAAGAAAAGAAAAAGTGAGAGAGAAAGTGGAAAAAAAAGAAAAACAAAAGAATAAAAACAAAAAGTGAAAGAGGAAGTAAGACCGATAATGCGATCTTAATTTGAAAGAGTAAATCGTGTAAGAGCAGCGAAGCCATTAATGAGCACGTACGTACAACGAATCCTAACCGCTTGCACCTGGCATCTACGATCGTACGCCGTCTGTCGCAGGCTGCCTCCTCTTCCTTTCTCTCTCTCACTCACTCTCTCATACCTTCTCTCGTTATTAACCCCAAAATTGCGGTCGAGAATCCTGATCGCCGATAGCGCGAGCCTCCTTCGTATGAAGGAAGATGCGACGATAACGATCGTAATTGAGTTTCCGTGAGGCTTGAATTATAACGTTGGTACATTCGAAATATCGCAAAAGAGAAAGAAGGAAAGAGAATGAGAAAATACGAGAAAAAGAGAGAGAGAGAGACAGAGAGTCAGGGGGAAAAAAAAATTTGCTTGATATTCAAATTCATTCATTCGGTTCTATCACCCGGATCATCTTCATTAAAATTGCATAATCAAATGATTGCAGAAGATTTTATCTTTGTATTTCGAAAGCAAGGTCTATCTAGTTGGTTGGTTGCTTGGTCGGTTATTCGTTCGTAGGATCGAACGCAAGGTGAATTGAGAACCCTCATCGCGAGGTCACGAAAGGCTGACATAGGCCATACGATAGCCAACACGCATTCCGTTTCATTCATGCTTCTTGATCTGCCCCCTCCTCCTCCTCCTCTACCGCCACCTCCCCCAGYACTCTCTTCTCCCCACCCTCT